GGAAAAATAAGGAAAATGGACAATTGATAGGGAAAGAACCATTCATCCCACACTGACCCAAGGAAGCACCAGTAGAAGCAAAATTTTAGGTGTTTACACCCCAAAGTTAGTCCACGGAGATCCACTTTCAGAAACTTCTTCCATAAAAGGTTCTACGAGAAAATTAACAAGGGAAGGAGAGCCCACATTCTTCGCGTAGTGTGTCACGATACGTATCTACATGCGGAAGCCCATCAGATAGATGTCCTTTCATGAGAAAACTATGACTTCATTTAGCTCAGAATATACAAATATTTTTTATTTCCCTCATAACCAATATTAATATTTAGGCACACACTGTGTCCAGCTGATGTGTTTTCAGCTTTTCCTTTGTCTGAAAAGAATACCATGCCTCTCCCTTCAGCTCTCTTGCTTTACCAGATGCCAGTGGGTTGTGGGAAGGCTCCCTTATACAGAACTTCCAAAATACGCCCAGAAGTAGACTTAATTAAAGACTTTAAATAGAATCTACTTTTAAAAACAGATCTTTTTTTGGAAAGAATTCTTTCATTTCTCCTTAAACAAGTCTGTGCACTGGCTAAATCAAAGCCTTTTTATGATCACCTCATGATCTTCAAATGTTATAATCAAGCAATTCTTTGGTTCTTTTCTCCTCCTCCAACTAAAAGAAGCAGATGGTAGCTTTTTTTTTTTATTTCCTTCTCACTTAGTTCGGAAATTAACAAACATGTATATGTTCAATAAACTTTAATGTAAATCCTCTAATTGCAAGGACTTTTCCATTAATTCAGTAACACCCTAGGGTACCTCTGCTCTAAGCTGTTATAAAGTGGGCAGTCAATAAAAGTTGTTGACAGTTTGGTTGACTTGATTGGAAAAAAAATGAAATTACTCTCTTGCAAGCAGGTGAAAGGACTTTTTAAGTCATGACATTTTCTACAATACAAAGAAAAGTACATATCAGGTGTTGGCATGGAGACTAAACTGAGCTCATTACTATCCATTTTTAAAACTTTTTAGTAACTCATGAAGTAGTTTATAAAATTTTAAAAAGTAACTCATGGACAAGGCAAAGTATTTTTTAAATGGATTATCACTTGATTCCCTTTTAAAACATTAAAATTCTAGATCAGTAGACAGAAAAATTGAACTGGAAATAAGGCTATAGGGCAAGCAAGGTATTTTAGGATATAATACTCTGTTACACTGTTCTGACATCCCTACCTCATTTCTGGAGGAAGAAAAACTGGACACAGCTCATTGACAAGTAGCTCTTATAGAAATGTGTATTGGTAAGAGGAGGGGCAAACTTCACTGAGATGTGCATTGAGATGATCAAAAAGAAAGGGAAGGTTACTATAATAGCCACTCACTTGTTCCGAAATCGCTGAAAGGCAAGATATTCGGAGAATAGGAAAACAGCACGACAACAGTGGTAGCCATTGCTCCAAAGAGAAGGAATATCTTCCTGTGAAAATAGGAACAGTCCAAAATGTGCTGACCCCTGTCCAGGATGGCTTCCTGGTTCTCTTTTTATTGAAATATAGTTGGTTTACAATGTTATGCTAGTTCCTGGTGTACAGCATAGCAATTCAGTTATACATACATATTCTTTTTCATTATATATTATTACAAGCTATTGAATATAGTTCCCTGTGTTATTCAGTAGGGCCTTACTGTTTATTTATTTTACATACAATAGTTTGTAGCTGCTAATCCCAAACTCCTAATTCATCCCTCCCCCCCGCCTTTCCCTTTGGGTAACCATAAGTTTGTTTTCTATGTCTGTGAGTCTCTTTCTGTTTTGTAAATAAGTTCATTTGTTGTCATTTATTTTGGATTCCACATATAAGTCATATTATATGATATTTGTCTTTCTCTGTCTGACTTGCTTCACTTAGGGTGATGATCTCTAGGTCTGTCCCTCCCCATTCTTGACTCGCAAGTTATGTCATTCCCCATTCTGAAAGTTTATACTTATCATAATTCACAATAGATAAGTTTCACCTATCATTCAATTGAAAAATATCCCATTTTTAACCATTTTAGATAATTTATCTTGTCTTTCTTTTTACATTGGTACGCAGACATTTACTCTGGAAAATAGCTTTACCAAACTACACCATAATGCATAAGATAACAAATATATATTAAACTTCTGAGTTACAAATCACTTTAACTCATAATCTTATTTGATTCTCAAGATGGCATGAAAAAATAGAAAACAAATATTACCACCCTCACTTACAGAAGAGGAAATTCATGGTCCTTGAAGAATGGATTGTCTTTAAACGGGCCCTCCAGATTTTTAACCAAAATCTCAAGTTGCCCACTCAGCTTGGGTACCTACAAACTTGAACAAGAATAAAATCCCCTAACTTCCTGTCCTTTATTCCTCTTAGGTAACCTTCATCCACACTGCCTCCTTCTTTCCAGCTCCAAAGGCTGTGTCAAGGTCCACTTGTTGTCAAAACACAGCCTCTGGACCCCACTTACTGAACTGAGACTCGAGGTCAGAGTTTTAGATGAAGTAGAAAAGGCAGCTTTATTTCTTTGCCAGGCAAAGGAAGTCACAGTGGGCTAATGCCTCTAAGACTGTAAGCCTGCTGAGGAGAGAAGGCAGGGGGTTTTATAACAAAGAGTTCAAAGGGCAGAGCTAATTTCCATAGAGATGGTACAGGGTAACAAATT